CTTAATATTTTTTAATAAAAATTTAGGAGTGTTCTTTTGGTATGAAATGGAAACTTTTGAGCTAAGTAAATAAAAAAAAAATTTTTTTTTACAGTCTCATACATAGATAAATTAACAATCAAGTTTGACAATTAAGCAATAATAATAATAATTGTGTGAGAAACTTACAACACCAAATGTATTCATGGATAAATCGATAAATTTGCCAGCTGTAAGTTTAGGCGGATAATGAGACATTGCGATGATTAGCACGAGTTCGAGAGCTTTATTCCCAGATAAATTATACCAATCGATTTCATAAGCAGCGGCACCAATTTTGCTGTACTGAAAATACGAAACATTAATACATAAATGCACTTATATTTTCTATTATGTGTGCAAGATTTCATAAAATACATTATTATGTATAATCTACTATATGCATATATGAAAAAACATTTGCAAATGTTTTAATTTTAATAAATATTTATTTAAGTAGTACTAACTAAACATTTATTTACAGTAAATAAATCTTTATTCAATAAAAAAATTTAATCAAATTAATAGTTCATGTATAAATAAATATATGTTTACATTTAATAAATATTTAGTTACTATTTAAACAAATATTTATTAAAATTTAGATATATAATTATAATTATTTACATTACAGAATCAATGACCTTGATCTTGACATATGTTGTCAAGATCATGACCCTTAGTGACCTTCAACAAGTTTTAACCATCGCTCTTTATTTGTTAAAAAGTTATTTGCAGTTAAAGTTAGTAATTATTTCCCTGCTTTACACATGAAAAGTGAGATAATCTAGACAGGAAGACAGGTTTGAGGTGGACCGATTAAAGGAATATGACTTTCCACGCGAAGCGAGTTTCATCCCACTTCTGCTGTCAAGGAGCGTCCGACTTTCTACGCGAAGCGAGTTCTACTTCATCTTCCTCCTGTCAAAGGGCGTCCGACTTTCCACGTAAAAAGTCCACTCTATCCCCCCCCCCCTTGCTTAAGGGCGCATGACTTTCCATACAAAGCGAAGGCCACCCAATACTAGGATGGACTTCCGCGTGGAAAGTCGTGCGTCTCTAGGCAAGGGGGAGATGAGATAGATTTCGCTGCGCGAAAATCGTGCCTTAATCGGTCTATTCCGTACTTCTCTCCCTGCCTAGAGTTATTTGACTTTTTATGTTAACTTTTTATTAAACAGGGAAATAATTATCAACTTTGACTGTTAATAACTTTTTAATGAATAACGAGCGCTAAAACTTGTTGAAGGTCACTTAGAATCATGACTTTGACAACATATATCAAGATCAAGATCATTGGAAAGATTTCCTAATGTAAATAATTACCAAATTTAGTACTTTTTTTTCATTGCATTTGAGAAATTTTTTACAAAATCATAATAATTAAATAAAGCACATTTTAAACATTCTTTGAAAAATAGATATTAATAATGAAATTTATATTCTTCCTCTTCTTTCTATTGCAATTTTTTGTATTGCAGAATTAAACCAACTCATTAGTAATACAGTAAAAGATAAGTGAAAAATATTCTTATGCTACAAATATTACGAAAATACCTGTTCCACGAGGAGCTCACCGATGTAACAAAATATCAGAACATTAAATGTGAAAGATATCAACAAGATGAAATATGTCAAGATGGCTATGGCATCGCTATTTTTCCACTCCTGAGAAGGTAAAATGTACTATCACAAAGTTCAACAAAATTGTCTATACAAACTGAATTTTGCATATAACTTTAAGAAAGATTATGTTATCGTAATGTCAATATTACATCGATATTATTTTCTTTACCGTTAGGCAATAATATTCGAGCAAACATATAGTCAAGGTAGAAGTCAGCAGTTCCAGTAAACATATTTCGCGTAGCACTTCCTCCACGCTGGCCGAAAATCTAGAAGCGTGTCACGTATCTATCCAAAAATCTAGAAAATCACGCTCAATATGTATCTACTTGCACACTTTCCTCGCATTTTCCACTTACCTCAGTATTCGTACATGATGTTTCGCTATCGCGCTCAAACGTTTTTTCACGGTGGTGTCCTTGCTCCATTTCCCTTCAACCAAATCGTCCAACAATAACATTAGTATATCTATTTGCCCGCACGCGTGTGTTACAAAAATCGCTGCCAAGCTACAGGATGCCGTCGTGATGTGATACGTGATCATCGCGAATAGGCAATGAATGCAGAACACGATCTCATAAGCAGGGCTGGCTCCAGGATCGAAAAACATGTCGTAACCGGGATAAGTATGTATTCTAATCGTGTAGTTCTCGTTAATTTCCTGTCTGGAAGATAACGGCATTATTATATGGTAAGATAATCCACCGGTATAAAGGAAAATCGCACACAGCGTGGTGAGTCTGCGTCCTATCAGCACTTTCTTCAGCATTATCTCGCGAGTTTGATGCTGCACGATCCGCCAATCGTCCTCGACATGTCGAATACATCTTCCGAACGCGGTAGCACGCGCACCAAAGTAACAATATTTGATCGTGTTAGTCAGGCAGAAGCCGACCGGACCGAAAAGCTTGACTTTAATGTTGATGTCCTTCTCGCGAAATAAAGTATAAAATCCGGCAGGTATCAGGACGAAACATAGAGCGGAGAAGCACATGACGATCAATATTATCGAGATGAACTTCTCATTTAGCGACGGATGACCATAGATCGGGTGCCACATGCCAATCGGTTTTAGCACCCAGCGGCACAGCTGCATTGTGTAGCGTATGTCGTGCTTATGGTGTACATTGTACATCTTGAGCGTTCTTCCTGCAAGTTGGAATCGATCGCGCATACTGTCGCTCGCGAAGCGCAACGATGACTGAAACGCGGACGTTACGCAACGTTCCGTTTCTCGCGACGCAAGCGCGGAGAAGTAATGACTTCAGTATCGCGTGCATGTGCGTTTTATGTCTGTCATATGTATATGACTAGGTGCTTAGCCATGCGTATGCGAACGATTGACTTTCCCTCCGGTTATTGTTCGTCCGAGGGTTCGTCCAGTGATGTGCAAGGAATCGGAAATTCATAACGAGTTCACACACAATGCTTAACTTAGATATCTTTCAAGCGAGATTGTTGGCGACTTTTTGAAAATTATTTATACATTACATATAATATAAATGTGCATTTTATATATTATTTTACAATATAATTGCAGTTTTCTTTTTTTCTCATATGGTAAATTTTAATTTTTTTTTAAATAGTACAATTGATTTCTTGTCTCAAGGTTAATCAAATCATAATAGAGTAAGTTGATTTAATAGTAAGTTGAATTAATAATTTATCTATTTTAATTGAATGACAACTAATGAATGTGACATGTCAATTTATTATTGATTTCTATACAATATTTTTTGAGAAAAATATATCTATAACAAATTTGCTGCCACTAACAATAATAAGAATTGTTTAAGTTTTATTGCGTAACTGTTCGAAGTAAATTTAAATATACTACGGATGTTTTAAGTACCTAGAAACAATGTAAACGTGAATTAATCATGTAATTATAACAATTATAAAAGAATGAATAGAATTGATTAAGATGGAAGCTATCAATCTACAAGTGTAGAATTACGAGTATAGAATTACTTAATTCATGACACTCACGACGCTGAAAGTATTGAGAGATAAATCACAGAATTTGCCAGCTGTAAGCTTGGGTGGATAATAAGACTTCATCATAATCATAATAATATCCACAGCTTTATGGCCAGGTAAATCATACCAATTAACTTCATACGCGGCTGAGCCGATTTTACCAAACTAATGAAAATAGAAATAATTGAATATTATAATAGCTATTATTTATTTAAAATAGGATTTATATACTATGAATTTTTGATTGAAGATCTGAAAAAAAATTTTTATTATCAGCAGCGTAAAAAATACCTCTTCTGCGAGAAGTTCGCCAATATAACAAAATATTAGAACGTTGAACGTTAAGGCTACAAATAACAAAATATACGACATGATGCCCACGGCGTCGCTAGTACTCTCCCATTCCTGAGAAGATAAATATACAACTAATTGTAAGTAGATCTTAATAATTTATCAATGCAAAAAGAAGACTATTTCCGTTTCGTTAAAGTACTTGCTACAATACTATATTAACTCACATTTTGTAAAAACATAGACAATAAACTCTAAGGGTGCGTCCAGATTATCGAGCCGAAACTCTAGCCAAATACAGAACCGCGAACATTTCAGCTAACTTTCATTGCTTTTGCCGAGCAGCGTAACAAATGTTTACCGAAATACTCGCGGCGAAATTCGTCTTGAGTTTCGATTCGAGTTTCGGCTCAATAATAATCAGAACGCACCCTAACGTGAAAAATATTTATTTGTATATTCTACAAAAACTTTCATGTTTTGACATATCGGAAAAGATTATTACAGGTTGCAGATTGTGAATAAGGAATATTATGAGACGAGTAAAATTTGTCTGCATCAAATACTTACATTGTTGAAAGATAAAAAAAAATACGAATCACTACATAAACATAACAGATATAATATCAAGTAGTCTGACCTTTGGAACAAATACAGGACTCATCCATTTTTATCAATATATATTATTGTAGCAAGCCCTTTAATTATTTATAATATTAAATCAAGAACTATATTAAAAGTACGACAAAATTTGTAATACGCGGATAGCTATAATTACATTATCGTGATGCGTGTCTGCTACCGTGACTTTCTTACCATTAAGAAAAAATATTCCAGCAAGCATATCATCAAGGTTGCGGTCACCAGTTCCACTAAGCATACTTCACGTAATATTTTCTCCACGTCAGTCGTAAATCTAGAAACGCGTCATGTATCTACTCCAAATAAGTCTAAAAACGCGTCATGTAAACTATCTCGGCGCTTTCTCCGTCTCACCTCAGCACACGCACGTGATGCTTCGTTATGAAGCTCAGACGTTTCTCCATATTGGTACCTTCAGTCCTCTTCCCATTGACTAGATCATCCAAAAGCGTCACCAATATCTGCACTTGTCCGCGTGCGTGCGTCGCAAAGCTTGCAGCAAGACTGCACGCTGCTGCTGTAGCACTATATTGTATCATAGCCGATAGGCAATGCATGCCAAAGATGATCTCGTAAGCGGGACTTGCTTGAGGATCCAAATAGAGATCATATCCCGGATACATCAGCAGTCTATTTGTGAAGCTACCATTTATCTTCGTTCTAGAAGACAATGGCAAGATCGTGTGATAAAACAAGCCGCCACCGTAAAGAAAAATCACGCACAGTATCGTTATTCTGCGGGCCATCAGCACGTTCTTCAGCATCATTTTACGATGATTCTGATATTGTACTACCCGCCAATCATTCTCGACGTGTTCGATACATTTTCCGATCGTCGAGATACGTGTTCCGAGGAAGCAATATTTGATCATGGAAGTTAGACAGAAGCTAACTGGTCCAAAAAACTTGATTTTAATTTCAATGTCCTCATCGTAGAATAGAAAGTACGAACCAGCAGGTACAAGCACAAAGCACAGACCGAAGAAACTCATCAAGATCATCATTAACGAAAGGAGCTTCTCACTTTGCGACGAACGACCGTAAATTATGTGCCAAATACCGATCGACTGCAGGATCCACCGGCATAACTGTATAGCGTAATATATGTCGTGCTCGTAACGTACATTGTGTATCCTGTCTGGAAGTGAAGATCGATAGCTCATGCTGTCTACGAAGTATAACGATGACTGAAACATGCGGACGTTGCGCGACGTTCCGTTTCTCGTGACGCAAGCGCGGGGAAATAATGACTTCAATGTTGCGTGTATGTGCGTTTCATGGCTGTCATATATGATCAGGGGCTCAGTCATGCGTATGCGATTGATTCTCCCCTCGGTCATTGCTTGTCCGTGGGCTCATTCAGTGATGTGCAAGCGCGAAGGGATCGGAAGTTCATAACACGAGTCCATACATAATGCTTAACTTAGATATCTTTCAAGCGAGATTCATTGTTGACGACTTTTTTGAATATTATTTTTACATTACATATAATATACATTTTATATATCATTTTACAATATAATTGCAGTTTTCTTTTTTCTCATATGGTAAATTTTAATTTTTTTTTAAATAGTACAATTGATTTCTTGTCTCAAGGTCAATCAAATCATAATAGAGTAAGTTAATTTAATAGTGAGTTAAATTAATAATTTATCTATTTTAATTGAATAACAACTAATGAACGTGACATATGTCAATTTATTATTGATTTTTATACAATATTTTTTTAGAAAAAATATATCTATTACAAATTTGCTGCCACTAACAATAATAAGGATTATTTAAGTTTTATTGCGTAACTGTTCGAAGTAAATTTAAATATACTACGGATGTTTTAAGTACCTAGAAACAATGTTGTAAACTTTAAAAACATGAATTAATAATGTAATTATAACAATTATAAAAGAATGAAATAGAATTGATTAAGATGGAAACTATCAGTTTACAAGAGTAGAATTACAAGTATAGAATTAAACAATAGAATAACAATAGTTACTCATGACACTCACGGCGCTGAAAGTATTGAGAGATAAATCACAGAATTTGCCAGCTGTAAGCTTGGGTGGATAATAAGACTTCATCATAATCATAATAAGATCCACAGCCTTATGGCCAGATAAATCATACCAATTAACTTCATACGCGGTTGAGCCAATTTTGCCAAACTAATGAAAATAGAAATAATTTAATATTACAATAGTTATTATTTATTTAAAATAGAATTTATATACTATGAATTTTTGATGATTGAAGATATTCTGAAAAAAATTTTTTATTGTCAGCAGTGTAAAAATACCTCTTCTACGAGAAGTTCGCCGATATAACAAAATATTAGAACGTTGAACGTTAAGGCTACAAATAACAAAATATACGACATAACGCCCACGGCGTCGCTATTCTCCCATTCCTGAGAAGATAAATATACAACTAATTGTAAGTAGATCTTAATAATTTATCAGTGCAAAAAGAAGACTGTTTCCGTTTCGTTACAGTTAAAGTACTTGCTACAACACTATACTAACTCATATTTTATAAAAACATAGACAGTAAAGCCTCAGGGAGCGTCCAGATTATCGAGCCGAAACTCGAGCCGAATATAGAACCGCAAATATTTCGGCTAACTTTCATTGCTTTTTGCCGAGCGGCGTAACAAATGTTTCGAAATACTCGCGGTTCGCAAGATTCGTTTTGAGTTTTGACTCGAGTTTCGGCTCGATAATAATCTGAACGCACCCTAACATTAAAAATACATATATTTGCATATATGGTATTACAAAAACTTTCATGTTTTGATATATCGGAAAAGATTATTACAGGTTGCAAATTGTGAATAAGGAATATTATGAGATGAGTAAAATTTATCTGCATCAAATACTTACATTGCTAAAAGATAGAAAAAAATACTAATCACTACATAAACATAACAGATATAATATTAATTAGCCTGACTTTTGGAACAAATACAGGACTCATCTATTTTTATCAATATCATATATTATTGTAGCAAGCCCTTTAATTATTGTAATATTAAATCAAGAGCTGTATTAAAAGTACGACAAAATTTATAATACGCGGATAGCTATAATTATATTATCGTGATGCGTGTCTGCTACTATTATACTAATTTTCTTACCATTAAGAAAAGATACTCGAGCAAGCATATCATCAAGGTTGCGGTCACCAGTTCCACTAAGCATACTTCACGTAATATTTTCTCCACGTCAGTCGTAAATCTAGAAACGCGTCATGTATGTACTCCAAATAAGTCTAGAAACGCGATTGATGTATGACTATATACTATGATGATAGATGTAAACTATCTCGGCACTTTCTCCGTCTCACCTCAGCACACGCACGTGATGCTTCGTTATGAAGCTCAGACGTTTCTCCACATTGGTACCTTTAGTCTTCTTCCCATTGACTAGATCATCCAAAAGCGTCATCAATATCTGCACCTGTCCGCGTGCGTGCGTCGCAAAGTTCGCGGCCAAACTGCACACTGCTGTCGTAGCGCTATACTGTATCATAGCGGACAGGCAATGCATGCCAATGATGATCTCGTAAGCGGGACTTGCTTGAGGATCCAAATAGAGATCATATCCCGGATAAATCAGCGGTTTATTTGTGAAGCTACCATTTATCTTCGTTCTGGAAGACAATGGCAAGATCGTGTGATAAAATAAGCCACCACCGTAAAGAAAAATCACGCACAGCATCGTTATTCTGCGGGCCATCAGTACGTTCTTCAGCATCATTCTGCGATGATTCCAATCATTCTCGACGTGTTCGATACATTTTCCGATCGTCGAGATACGTGTTCCGAGGAAGCAATATTTGATCATGGAAGTTAGACAGAAGGTAACTGGTCCAAAAAACTTGATTTTAATTTCAATGTCCTCATCGTAGAATAGAAAGTACGAACCAGCAGGTACAAGCACAAAGCACAGACCGAAGAAACTCATGAAGATCAGCATTAATGAAAGGAGCTTCTCGCTTTGCGACGAGCGACCATAAATTATGTGCCAAATACCGATCGACTGCAGGATCCACCGGCATAACTGTATAGCGTAATATATGTCGTGCTCGTAACGTACATTGTGTATCCTGTCTGGAAGTGAAGATCGATAGCTCATGCTGTCTACGAAGTATAACGATGACTGAAACATGCGGACGTTGCGCGACGTTCCGTTTCTCGTAACGCAAGCGCAGGAAAATAATGACTTCAATGTTGCGTGTATGTGCGTTTCATGGCTGTCATGTATGATCAGGTGCTCAGTCATGCGTATGCGATTGATTCTCCCCTCGGTCATTGCTTGTCCGTGGGCTCATTCAGTGATGTGCAAGCGCGAAGGGATTGAAAGTTCATAACGTGTTCCACACGCAATGCGTAGCCTCGATATCTTTCAAACGAAATCCATTGATGATTTTTTAAATGTTATCTATATTATATGTTATTTTACGTTATATGTTATTTTTACAATTATAGTTTTCTTGTTTTACAGTCTAGTATTACAGTTTTACAGTTTTCTCTTTTTTTGATACAGTAAATTTTAATTTTTAAACGCAGTACATTTTTTGTCTTATGATCAATCAAATCATAATAGTAAGTTGATTTCATTTATCAGTATTTATAATCTATTTTTCATTTATCATTCAATTATAATTCTAATCTATTTTTAAAATTGATTGAACGACATATAATGACAGATAATAAATGTAACATACGTTAATTTATTATTTTTTGAGAATAGATATATCTATAATAAACTTACTGCCAAGAACAATAATGAGGATTATATCTATAAGTTTTGTATATTTTTTGTGGATTGTATAAGTTTTATTGCGTAACTGTCCGAAGTAAATTTAAATATACTACGGATGTTTTAAGTACCTAAAAACAATGTGAACTTTAAAACTATTACTTAATAATGTAACAATAACAATTATAAATGAATAGAATTGAACAAGATGGAAGTTATCAGTAGTTTTACAAGTGTAGAATTACAAGTACAGAGTCACTTAATCAGTAAAAATAGTTATTTATGACACTCACGGTACTGAAAGTATTGAGAGATAAATCACAGAATTTGCCAGCTGTAAGCTTGGGTGGGTAATAAGACATTGTAATGATCATTACAAGATCCACAGCCTTATGACCGGGTAAATCATACCAATTAACTTCATACGCGGCTGAACCAATTTTGCCAAACTAATAAAAATAGAAATAATTGAATATCAAAATTATATTATGTTTGTTACTATTCATTCATCAAAATGGGATTGATATATTATGGATTTTCAATAATTGTATCTCTGAAAAAATTTTTATTATTAACAATATATTGTAAAAAATACCTCTTCTACGAGGATTTCGCCGATATAACAAAATATTAAAATGTTGAACGTTAAAGATATTAGTAATATAAAATATGTTAAGATGGCCACGGCATCGCTATTCGCCCATTCCTGAGGAGACAAATGTATAACTAGATATTTACAATTTATTAATGAAAAAAGAAGATCCTTTCTATTTCATTATGATTAAAGGACTTATTGCAACATTAGACACGTAACACTCATTTCGTAAAAACGGAGAAAGTAAATTTTAAAGTTAAAATGATGAGAAAAATACATTTATACATGCTACAATACTCTTTCATGATTTGACACATATTCAGAAAGTTTATTACGGAATGCAGATTGTGTATACAAATATTATAAGATGAGTAAAATTTTCTATATTATTCTTAATTACATTGCAGAGGTAAAAAATACGAATCACTACATAAACACGTAACAAATATAATATTAATTAACTTAACCTTTGTAATAAATAAAAGAGTCATTTAATATTACATATTTGGCTACGTTATTGCAGCAAGCCCTTCAATTATTGTAATTTTAAATCAACAGCTATATTAAAAATACGACAGAACTTGTTATACACGAAAAAGATACAATTATGTTATCGTGATACATGTCTGCTATCGTAATTTTCTTACCGTCATACAATAATACTCGAGCAAACATATAATCAAGGTTGCAGCAACCAGTTCCAGTAAGCATATTTCACGTAATATTTTCTCCACGTCGGTCGTAAATCTAGAAACGCGTCATGTATCTATCCCATATAAATCTAGAAACGCGTTATGTAAACTATCTCGGCGCTTTCCCCATCTCACCTCAGCACACGCACGTGATGCTTCGTTATCAATCTTAAACGTTTCTCCACATTGGTACCTTTATTTCTCTTTCCATCGACTAGATCATCCAAAAGTGTCATCAATATCTGCACCTGTCCGCACGCGTGCGTCGCAAAGCTCGCAGCCAGGCTGCACGCTGCTGTTGTAGCGCTATATTGTATCATAGCAGATAGGCAATGCATACCAAAGATGATCTCGTAAGCGGGACTTGCTTGAGGATCGAAATAGAGATCATATCCCGGATAAACCAGCGGTCTACTTGTGAAGCTACCATTCGTCTTCGTTCTGGAAGACAATGGCATGATCGTATGATAAGACATGCCGCCGGTGTAAAGAAAGATCACGCACAACGTCGTTAGTCTACGGCCCACCAGCACGTTCCTTAGCATCATTCTGCGATGGTCGTAATGTCGCACGATCTCGACGAGGCACGCGCTCCGAGGAAGCAATATTTGATCGCGGAAGTTAGACAGAATCCAACCGGTCCAAAAAGCTTGACCTTAATGTTAATGTCCTTCTCACGAAATAGAGTGTAGGGACCGGCGGGTACAAGCACGAAGCACAGACCAAAGAAACACACGAAGATCAGTATTAACGAAAGAAGTTTTTCGCTTTGCGACGAGCGACCATAAATCATGTGCCAGATACCAATTGGTTTCAGGATCCATCGGCATAGCTGCATGGCGTAGTATATGTCGTGCTCGTAATGTATATTGTGTATCCTGTCTGGAAGTTGGGATCGATCGCGCATGCTGTCGTCCATAGTGTACAACGCCGACTGAAATACGCATACGATACCATCCTGATGTCTGCGTGACGACGCAAGCGCGGGAAAATAATGATGTGATCGCGTGTAAGTGCGTTCCATGTCTGTTATATGTAATGTAAGGGGAAGACGTGCGTGCACATAGGTCTCCCTTTTCCAGTCATTGCATGTCTGAGAATCGTCATGTCGATGACGAATGAAAGTGCGTAATAACGTGAAATTTACGAGTTCTAATATAGTTGTGCGGATGTACGCATCCTTGCTTTCCCTAGTGCGTAACGCAACGTTGGAAATACAATCAGTATATAAGTGCGTAGGATATAAATATTTACACTTTGCATAATACAGCATATAACTTAGCTTTATATTATATTTTATAGGGAGTATAATTAGTTAATCTGTAATTTCAATTTTGTCAATATCGTAATCAATTTAATTCTATTTAAATTTATATTTACGTGACCGATAATTTGTATAACTTGATTTATTAACAAATATGCTGGCGTATATATCTAAATTTTATTAAATATATTTTTTAACGCACTAATGTTACTATATAGTACATCTCGATAACGATGATTTTACCGTATTAAACGTAGAAGGTACGAAGTAAATTCAGGTAAGCCACGGACGCTTTAACAATCTGGAATTTTGTCTTCTATCCATTTCTTATAAATAATCAAAAATAATTTTCATGTATGAATAAGTGAAAATAATTTTAATACTACTCACACTGCAAAAACTGGCTAAGGATAAATCCATAAATTTTCCAGCTGTAAGTTTGATGGTGGCATTCGACATGGCCATTATTAATGTCAAACCGAGTGCTCCCTTATTCGGTATACGATACCAATTTATCATATAAGACTTCATGCCGATTTGTATACACTGTTAAAAACATTTTGATGATTTTTATGTAGGCAACAATTATGTCGTATATGACGTATATAGACAACAATTCTTATAATGTGTTTAACAACTCAGTCATTTACGTTACAAAGCTCTTATAAAAAATTTGGATTTTTTAAATGTAAAATTAAATTTAACATGAATTTCAATAGAAAAATATCGAAATCCTTTAGTTCGAGGAAATTAATTGTAAAGTTGAGAAAATAAAATAAAATTTCTATTTTTTTTGCTGTTACTCTAAGAATATTTCAAGTCTCATCTCAAATAATATAAATAAACAATATAGGGAGAGTTGTCGAATATCACTTAATCTATTTTTTGTTACATTTTCCATTTGGCACTGTTTTGTACGCAAATGACATTAGAAATTGTAGCGTAAGGTTTTATTATATGTTTAACTTTTTATCAATAACAAATTAATTAATAAGTCTTTTTGTAATATGCTGCAAAAAGTATGATTTAGACAATTTCACCTAAATCGTTTCTGTCTTTTTTAAATTGTATTTATTTTGAAAGTAATGAATTTATGAACGAAAATAATTGAAAATATAAGATTAATAAAAAAAATCATTAACTGATATGTAATAATTAATTACCCAGATAACATTTATATTGCATAAAATATCTAAAAGATGTCTTTTAGATGTCTTATGTCTAAAAAATGTCTAAAAGACGTCTTTTAGATTTCTTATGCATGTTATTTGGGTAATACCTAGATTTAATTCTTATTAATAACTATATAATTTAATAATTTATTGAAAAAAATCAAGTATTTAATAATTATTCAATAAGAATTATAAAAAGACAAATAACATCAAAATAAAATTGGTTCATATATATTTATGTACTTGATATTTATACTGATATTAATTAGTTTTATTATTGTCAATTATCAATCTTATCTGTAATGGTATGAAGAAAACTTGATGAATTTTGTAAAAATGTCGGTTTAATCTTTATAATGGTTGCAAATATGTTATATACAATTAAAATATTCTACAATAAATCTTTTTTTTTATAAAAATATAAAAATTTATAATAAAATTGGATGATCGCGTTATCTATACAAATTAAATTAAAAATTAATATCAGATATACCTAATTTTTTAAAACACCACTAAGCTTAAACACCTTAAAACAAAGCGTAGGCTATTATATCTTTGTCTATATTACTCATTTTTCATTTATTTTATACTACTGTTACTAAATGTTGCCTATATTAAGTAATAATATAAAATATTGATGAAGTATGATTTAGGTGACCAGTACGTATTCGGTGAATTTCCTCTAATTATAGTAGAGGCTGCCATTACAATTTAAGTACCTGTTCAGCAAGGAGTTCACCAATATAGCAAAGTATAAATATATTAAACGTGAAAGATACAAGCAATGAACAAAATGTCATTGTTCCTAATGTTTCACGATGTTCCCATTCCTAAAAGGCTAACATCAAAATGTTATGAGCATGAAATGTAATTGTACTATATTATGAACTTACTTAAAATATTGTTTGCAAATATGTTTCGTACCGTTATCATATTGAATCCTAGAAAACATATGTTGAGCGTACATCCGACTACATCCACGAGACAAATTTCGTTTAAAAGTTTCTCTGTGCGATCGATAAAACTGAAAGTTACGTGATTAAAATTTAAAGCTAAAATCTATTTACATAATATATTTATATAATAATATATTAATTTTTTGATATGTGTTTGATAAGATAATTATCAGGATTGCTAACGCAAAGTTTATCTTCAATTATAAAATTGTTCGTGTGTAATATTGTATTAATTGTTTATCATAATGTTAGATTTCTTATATTTTATAAGAAAAATTTTCAAAAATTGCAAATAATTTCATTCTTCTGTGGATACAATCTTCATGTAGCAATGTTACCTGAGTATCCTAATATGATGTTCCACGATGTTACCGAGTCTTCCTTCGTGCGTACTATTCGCACTCTTCCTCTCTTTTCCGTCCGCGAGGTCCTCCATCTTTAGCATGAGTATTCGAAATTGACCGCAGGCATGCATGACAAATACTGCTGTCAGACTGCACACGCTGATAGTGATCGTATAAATGACGTAACCAGCTAAAGCTTGCGTGAATTGCGCGATTTCGAAGGATGGTGTAGTGCGTGGATCGAAGAGACCACGATAAATTGGGAAGGAGAGCGACCTCACTGTCTCGTTGTCAATAATCTCTGTTCTCTTTGCGCAAATCGGCATTACCGTGGTGAAGAATATACCTGCGGAATACATGAAGATCGCGCTGATGGAGGATAGCCATCTGCCGTACTTAGCATTGTTCACCATTATTTCTCGATCTTTCTCATGATTCAACGCGACACGGCTCCAATCCACGCGAATGTGCCGAATGCATTCGTCGATGTCCTTGCTGCGGATAATGAGGATATATTGTTTCACCGCGGCCATTAGGAAAAAACTGACCGGACCGATCATCCTGATCTTGGTGTCGAGATCAGTGTCTACTAGGATAGTGCAAAGAGTACATGGAATAAGCAGGAAACATATCAATAAACAACTGATCACCGTCAGAATCATGCAACCAATTTTTTCCACCGTGGTCTCGCAGAGAGTCAACGGCCATACGCCGATCGGTTTCAGAAACCAACGGTTCATTTGAATGCTATAGTTCCAACCATTCGTTATGGATTTGATAGACTTTGACTTTGAATAATCAGGCATGACTAAATCGCGACGATGCACGTAACTGACTGAGCGTCAGTGAACTGATCATCAGCCAGTTCAACATGCGCATGTGCGTCTTCTATCTATAAACGTTCGTGCGTGAACGCAATTGATTCCTTCCTATCCCTTTCTACCTGCTGGCCGTTTCATTATTAGTGAGGATTATAGTTCCTGGAATTTTATTGCGTGCTTCGTGCAAATCCTTTTGCGGGGATGCAGATAAGGAAATAAATTTTATAGGGAAGAAGGGTTCTAACCGTTGTTCATCAAAGGGGAATACGTAATATACTGGGAACATGTTTCCTTCATAGTATTTTCTAACATAGTCGGTGGAGGATCTCCTACGTATATTTCATTTCGCATATGGTTACCTTGAACGAGAAATGAGTGTATCTTTAAAAAGAGTGGTGTAAGAGCAAATTTGAAATATAAATTTCTCTCTAAGGCCCGATTGTATCAACATTACTTTGACTTTAAACGAGGCTTAAAATTCTCTCTATCTCGTTTTAAAGCGGAAGAGAGACAGAGACAGAGAGAATTTTAAGCCTTGCTTAAAATCAAAGTAACGTGGTGCAACCAGGCCTAAAAGATGATTAAAATATTTCTTGAAATTACTATTGCCTATTATAAAGCAACGTGTATGAAAATACAGTGATAATATTGGCTAAATAAATTTATTTCAATAAGTGTATTTTTACATATGCAAAATGAATATAAATATATATATAAAATAATTACTTGGAACATATTGCTGCCAATGTCTTCAGAATTTAAAATAAAGTGAGAATTGTGTGTTGTATGCACCCCATATCCCAGCTAATAATAAGTAGAATCGACATCAATGAATTAGTGCCATCGACATTTGATCAATGTCAATTCTACTGATTATATTTAGTGGGATATATACATCGTATTTATAATCTTATAAAATTTTATAATTAACTATAATTAAAATTTATATCGTACATTTTTAAGTAAACTTTTAATAAACAAGGATATTATTTTGTTAATTTATAGTTTGTGACCTGGACAGTAGGTACTTATTCAACATAAACAAATATTACATAAAATTTTTATTAAATATCTATATTTATTTTATAATGCTATTTACTGTCTATTTTGCGTATTGTTATTTTTTCATGCCAAAGTTGTAATTATTTACGTAAGCAGTACAGTCCGAAGTATATTTAAATATGCTAATGCAGATTTAATTACCTAAAGCAATTAGAAGTCACTTATCTTCGTTTAAAAATTGATTATTTTTTGTAGAAATATTTGTATTTTAAAACTTTTGTACAACTATATTACTCGAATGTTACACAGATAAAATTTCAATAATACAAAAACTATACTATTCTTTATTCAAATATATAAGTTGCATATATTTTATATGCATAAATTGTATAATGTATTTTTGCTTACTTACATCACCGAAAGTGGAAAATGAGAGCTGAACAATTTTTCCGGCAGTTATCTTGAGGACAGCGTTGGATCTTAAAATTATCAGAATGAGCCCCTGGGCAGTTTTTCCAGGCAGAAGGTACCAATTTGTCATATAGGCAGATTTACCAATCTGTTCGCCCTAAAGGCCGTTTCGTATACCTGTTATAATTCGATTAAAGAAACCAGCGATATTGCATCTTAATAAATTCCTCAATACATAAATAAATCTCGATCTCATGAATGTATATTATACTTTTTAAAACTTTTAGACTGAATCTCACTCTAAAGAGTGAAAGAGAGATTCAAGACTGGCTTCATTTTTATTCTTTAAAGTGAGATCCCACTCTATAGAATTTAGAAAATAACGTCATAATTTTTTTATGTGTACAGTTTCTTACTGTTAAATTTTTAAGTTTGTTAAATATTACCTGTTCAGAAAGTATTTCCCCGATGTAACAAAATATAAAAATATTAAAAGTAATCGAAGATAATACCATCGAATGTGATAAGATACTTTGATGATTGCCATCAATAAAATCCTAAAAGAGACATTAAGTCTGACGTATATAGCTAAGAGTTAGAAATGCGAAGAGTTGAACGAAATAATATAAAGTATATACATATATTCCGAAATAATTTCCATACCATAATGCAATAATACCCTAACAAACATATATGCATAGTACATCCAATTAATTCCACAAGGCATATTACATTCATAATTTTTTCTGTACGAGATACAAAACTGCAAATATAGAGATCACGATCGATTATAATTATTTTCCAGCAATTTTAATTTTATCAAGTATACAACATTTATTATGTAACTTTTGCATTAAAAAATAGAATATCATAAATTAAAAACATGTAGATATTATAAATTAAACATTTGCATTTAAAAAATTTTGCTGACATTAATTATATTGCACTATTATCATTGAGTTGGATTAGATTTGATGATAGCGCAAATTAAAAAATATTGAAAGAGCCATAGAAGATAGATAGCTCAAAGAAGATAGCTCACCTCAAGATTCTTAAATGATGATTCACGATGATTGCAAATCTTTGCCTTAAAGAAATCCTTTCCTCTTTTTTATCGTCAATGAAATTTTCAAGCCAGGATATCATGATTTTCATTTGGCCGCAAGCATGCATCACGAAAACCGCTGTCAAGCCGCATGTTGCGACCGTAACGCAGTTGACGACGAAGGATGAAAGACACTGTAGAAAAAACACGAACTCGTATGCCGGACTGAAGTGCACGTTTAGAATCTTGTTGTAGAAGGGATAGGGTAATCCGCGAACTACTATGCTGCTATTTTCCATGTACAGGATACTCTTGGAGAGACCTTGGACGATATTATACGAGAATACACCGCAGTGCATGAACACGGCGCAGAAACCTGCGATGAATCGACCTAACTTGGCGCTCTTTAGCATCACTTTTTGATCCTCGAATCTCCTGATGATCAGCCAATCCATTTTCACGTGTTCCACACAATTGTGTATATCGTCAACGTGCATCAGGAGGCAGGAATAATTCACCATTGCTATGAACCAAAAGGTGAGCGGACCGAAATTTTGTAGCCTGGTCTCGTAGGACATCTGCGAATCGATGAACATACTCAAACCATTAGGTACCATGGTGATAATTATTAGGAAATAACATATAAATATCGCGAAATCGGAACGGATCTTTTCGATAAGTGAGGCATTGGCGGAACGCGGCCATACACTAATTGCCTTGAGAATCCAACGTATTATCTGGATACTATATTCGTTGTATTTATTGACTAAGTACGGAGAGATGCTAGAATTATCTGCTAGATCATCCTCCATGGTTTTCTGACGAAGGTAACCAACTTACTGAAGCTATCCCTTCGCTGTTGTACACGCGGTAGTAATGATCAGCGCGTGCGCAGACATTGAACAGTACATGATACAACGAGTGATTCTTACAATGTATTGTCGTGTATTATTGTGATAATGTGCAGCTGCCTCGGCAACAGGTAGAAACAGCGCGTAATCGATATTTAGGTCTGAAGTTTTACGTATACTGGACAGTTTTAAGCACGCATTTACATTGAGAATCACGTCTGCGAGTAAGATCAATTTTATTAAGGAAATTAATCATAATATGTATATTGGAATACATAGCAAATTTAAGATAGAAGATACAGATAAAGTAAAAATAAATTTTACTTAAAAATATGACATGCAAAATATTATTACGACAATATTGTTATTTATTTATTCAATTACACACTATATTCATTGTTTACAATCTATTGTATGTATAAAAAGTTATTTACGTAATGAGAGTACGAAGTATATTTAAATACGCTAACGCGGATTTAATTACCTGAAAGGTAGTCATTAATCATTCTGTCACTGTGACTTAAAAAGTTAATTTTTAATGACTATAGTTAAACAATTTTCTAATTATCTTTACAAACTATAATTATATATATATATATATATTGAATATATATATATATATATATATTGTATATATATATATACACATACATAGTCTGATAATTATTGATACAACGATATGTTAAAATGTAGATTGATTAAACTGAATCAAATTTACTATCGGACGATTTAGTTTAGTCTGCTCTACCTACTCACGAATGTTGTTTCAATAATTATCAGACATCCTATAATATATAAAATTCGTATCTAAAATACTATTTCTATAAACTACGCGTTTATAATTTGAAAAATACATTTTGTATACTTACATTACCGAATGTTGAAAGAGAAAGCTCAATCATCTTTCCAGCAGTGATTTTGACTACAATGCTGGATCTTAAAATGATCAAAACTAGATCGAGGGCTGTATTTCCGGGTAATAAATACCAATTTGTCATGTAAGCAATTTCACCAACTTGACCACACTGTTATATTACGATTAAATCGGACAATACGCTCGTGGCAATATCGCGTTTTGATAAAACTCACACAGGAAATTAACTATTAATATATAATTTAATTTCTTATCGGTCGCAAATTATTCGTAAAATTACTGATATTTTCAACAGGCATTGTCGTTACCTGTTCTGAAAGAATCTCTCCGATGTAACAAAATATAAAGATGTTGAAAGTAACCGAGATCAATATTATACCATATGCCACTATACCTTCTTTTTCGTTTTGGTTCCAATCCTAAAAAAGATTCTCTAATTCGTTCGAGTAATAGGCAATGATCAGCAAACAAATTTCACAATACGCGTACCAGTATACAATAATAACCCAACAGACACATGTGCAGCGTGCATCCTCCTACTTCCACAAGACAAACTACATTCGTAATTTTCTCTATATGAGATACAAAGCTAGAAATATATGTTTAGGAATAATATATATATGTATTTATAATATCATATATAATAATATAATATATGTATTTATACATCAAATAACATCCATTTCTTATGCATATATAGATTAATGTTATCTTAGATATCTCAGCGTATATTTATTTACTAATAAATCAATGTCTTATTCACACAACATTTAACACAGAATTAAAATGAAGGCAAGAAAAAAATATTTGACATCTATTACATGCAGAAAATTTGCTATTTTTACCTGAGTACTCTTAAATGATGCTCAACGATGACGGCGAACTTTTGCTGTGAAGAGTCTGTTTTTTCGTTTCTTTCGTTGATCAGACTATCCAGCAAAGACATCAGAATTTTTAACTGACCGCAGGCGTGCAGTACGAAGACGGAGGTGAGACAACAAGCGCTTACTGTTACAGAATTCACAACGAACGTGGATAGACACTGTATTATAAACACTATCTCGTACATTGGACTCGTCGTGGTATCCAGAATCTTATTATAGAAAGCAAAAGGCAGCGAACGTTCCGACGCGTTATCGCCTTTGACAACGGACTCGCTCAACGTCATTCCTCGGAAAATACTGTACGAGAATACGCCGCTGTGTATGAATACTGCGGAGAATATCGCGATGAAACGACCGATCCTGGCATTCCTCAGCATCATTTCCTGTTCTTCGAACTTCGTTATGGCCCGCCAATCCGTTTCGATATGTTTGATACATTGACGTATGTCGCCGACGTGTACTAGCAACGAGGTATATTTGAGACTCGCCAGCATCCAGTTGCTGAGCGGTCCAAAATCACGTATCTTCATATTTACATCCTTAGTCTCGTCCAGGAATATAGCCAATGCGCAAGGCACCAATATGCTGACGATTAAAAAAATGCATGTTATCAGTAATACCACTGATGAGATCTTCTCCGTAATCGATGAGTCCATCACTGGCCAAACACTTATCGGCTTTAGCAGCCAACGAATTGGCTGTATGCTGTATTCCATATTCTCTATGTAATTAAATATGATCGGCGAGTTCTGTGGAAGTTTCTTCATGTTCGCTTCTCGAGCGTACAGACATGATTGAATAATATCATCGCACGGATGATACTCGAAACGCACATAGGATAATAGTCAGAAAGAAACGCGTGCGCGGTGTACTAACTATACTTTCGTTTAATACATACGTCTCTTAAGTAATCGATATTTACAGTGCAAAAGCAAATTGAAGTGGTAGTGAATTCATTGTGAGATAGACGGCGAGAGTAATAGATTGTTGGGTCACATCGTCACGCAATTCGTTCGTCTTTTTTATTACTGTATTGAAATAATTTTATTACAAATTATTTGTATTTTTATTTAAAACAGCGGACATAAGAACTTATCTGTTTGTGATAGTTTTATCTTTGTTCTCTATCTATTCTATTTGTCTAGCTTATCCGTTCAGAATAAAGGGAGTTGAATAACATGATATCTGCGCTTATATTGATTTGTTCTAAAGGAAAAGGGTAAAACTTTTCTCTAATCGATACACAAATGAAACTTGTTCCCAAATTAAATGATCAATTGTGTTACAGTACAATACAATATGCTTGTGAAATGATTGCTTCAAATGTGCATTTAATAATGGGACTCAAATTAAGTTATAGGTATGTACAGCATAAAATGTAATCATAAAATTATTAATATTACTTATTATAAATTACAATTTACAATTGTTTTAATTATAGAAAATATAAATTCATTGCTTTCTTGCGAAAAAAAAATAAATTTTTTAAATTTTAATTTTGTAATTTTAAAAATAATTTTAACATATTATAATTATGAAAAAGTTATAATGTACTGCTAATATACATATGTATAATATATATATATATATAATTTATTATATTATAAAATATAGTATATTATAAAAATGCTGCAATACTTATTTAAACAAACTTTATACATATTGCTTTCCATGTGTATATTATATGTAAATACTGAAACATAGCTATATAACGAAATGTTCTTTTGTTATAAAATAAATTAGTAAATGATACGTAGATTTCATAATTTAGGAGAAAATTATTTTAATCTGTCCGATAAACTGTAATTGTCATGCTTATTCACTTCAACGTTTCCTACCAATTTATGTTCAGTATAATCACTTTATAAAAGCACGCAATGCACGCGAATGTTGCATTGTGCAGAGTTGAATGTGAAGTAGAGCGTGAGCAAACCTTCGAAAAAGTTCGATGAACAACTTATTACGACTGTTTTCAAAGGATCACAAATCCGATCAATAATTGTTTGTCGCGAATTTACAATACTAGTTGTGGAAAGAGAATATCGCGTGTCATGAGTAGATAAACTCGTAGAATGAATGTGATGTGACTATCAATTATGTTCTTCTACATTTGATTATGTGCAGTCATATTTCTTATACTGTAAAAAAGAACAAATATATAATTTCGATAAAAATAAGAATTAGTATTTTTTAAATATTGAAATTATAATAATAAGCATGAGAAAAATAATAAAAAATTATATAGTATATATATTTGTCACGACATCTCAATTTTTACATAATCATCCACATTTTATTTATGAAATCTTATTTTCAAGATATGTTAATTTATTCTATAAAATATATATCTTCCATATTTCTTAACCGTGTATCACATTATCACATAGGTATTATTCGGAACAAAATTTAAATATACTACAGAAGATTACTTGAAAAAAAGCGTTACTTCTACGCAATGCAAAAACAAAAATTTGAAATTGTAAGTCATATACATCCATATAATTGAATGTGTGGATATTTTAAACATAACATAGTTCAATTCAGACCAATTCTTATAAGAAGATTATAATTCAGAATTAATAAAGTTGAATGAAAGAAACATGTAATTTATTAATTATTTAATTAACAAAACAAAGGAAAGATATATCTTATTCACATATACTCACGAAAAAATTCCAATATACAGTTGGTAGGATTCTAATTGTAAAAAAACTTCGAACTTTATTCATCACCATATTATCGAAAGTTTAGTACTATAGATTCTGTAAGAACTTCAAACAAAACAATTTAAAAATATGGTTCGAGTTTTCATGACATCATGAAAAAAATTATAAAATATTACATAATATGTGTCATTGAAGGTATATTAATGACTCATACTGTCAATTTTAATATAATCATTGATGTTCTTTATTAATTTACTTTTGCTGCGCGTGTAGATGTTCCATATAGTATATGCATAGGACATTTATTCTCTTTGAAGTTTTTTCTATATTTTATACAATTACATAATTACTTATGTACACATATTTGATATTTGATTATGTTTTCTCCAGAGATGGGAGGGGAGAGGGAGAGAGAGAGAGAGAAAGAGAGAGAGAGAGAGAGAGAGAGAGAGAGAGAGGTTTGTATGTACATGAATAACATTGAATATTTTGCTTCAACAAATTATATTATATTATAAGAATATAAGATCAAAATTAGAATTTTAACAGGGAATGTTGAGCAATTTATGCTCGCTCGCAGGAAGCAAAATGATAATAAACGATTCCTGAAAATCTCGATATATTAATATTTCTGAGGGCAGTGATTTCTAATTTCAGTGCAACAATTAAATATTATTTTCAGACTATATATATAATTATATATTTTCTATATAAAATATATAATTTTTATATATTTTTAATTTATATTTCATATAACTTTTACATAGTCATTGTTCGCAAAAAATTGCAATATACGAACGATGTTTTAATTACCTGAAACAAGATATTTGTTTTTGTAGAAAGCAAAAATGATATGTATCACATTCCATAAGTTATAAATTTAGTTATATAGAGTTATTAACATTTGAAGTCTTAAATTATATACACGAATATCATAATTGTATGTATGAATGTTTTGTACATAATTTAAATAAGTGCGGTTCTCATAAAATAATCATTTGAAATTTAAAAAATATTATATAATTTATTAATTTTTTATTAATCACACACACACACACACACACACACACACAAAACACACAACGAATATCTGCATTACTTACATCACCAAAAGTAGCGATGGATAAATGAAATAATTTTCCCGCTGTTATCTTAACTATGTTATTCGATCGGGCAATAATCAGAATGAGATCACGTGCAATTGTGTGGTGTAAATTATACCAATCAGTCATATATGCCATTTCTCCGACAAGTTTGCACTAATTTAACATAAAATTTTGTATGAGTAATATAATAATTTGATAATTTATAGATAGATTAATATCACGTGAAAGAAAATAAAAATAATTAAATTTGTTAAAAATGAGACAATTTCATTTAAAAAATTATAATTTAATAAAAAATTTTTTATTACAATGTGTAATATTACACTTTCCTCTTCTCTTAAAATACTCTTAGACTACATTGTTAAGAAAATATTAAAACGTGATTTTTTTTGTTTCAGTATTTGAATCTCCACGTAATACCTGTTCTGTGACAATTCCTCCGATGTAGCAGAATATAAAAATATTGAAACTCATTGATAAATATATAAAAAGGTAAGATATTAGTTTTATTATATCAAGTGTTTCCCAAATCTACGCAGAAAAAATTTGTACTAAATTTAACGTATTTTAGGTGCCCAATAATCCATTCAAATTTTTATGTAAATATAACATGTATTATATGAGAAAGTAAAAAATGAAATTATGTAAAAAAATGAAAACAAAAAAACATTTTTGATACAATTTTAAGACAAATTTTGAAGATATATTTCTTGAAGAATATTAACATTCATAATAATATGTTGCATTAATTCCTAAATTTTATTTATCTTAGAATTTACGTTTTCAAGCTATGTTATGTTTATGTTATATGTTTATGTTATATGCTCACCCTTCTATTGTGAATTATATTTCTTTAATAATTGTTGATATTAATAATTGTTGAATGTCAATTTAACACAAAATGTTCAAATAATGTAAGGCGTTTCACGTTAAATTAACATATGAGTATATAAAAAATCCAACATAATACCTTGCCAATGACCGATTTTAATACAAATACAAAATGGTTTTTACAATGTAAAATTTAAAATGAGCTCTATTATATAATTTATCGTTTTTAATACACATTTTGTAATAGTAACGATGTTCGATTTTTCGTAAATAAGTGATATTTATTTGTGTAAAATAAAATTTGCATTTTCTCACATCTATAACGTACCGTAGCAACGTAATATCCAAGCAAGCACATTATTGTTGTGCATCCCGTTAATTCCACAAAAGCTGGTTTATGCATAATACTTTCCAGTTGTGATATAAAACTGAAACGTATAAATGTATATAACAGTTCAGTTTTTTTATAAATAAGTCATCCACATTAAACTGATTAAACATATCTTTTCATGAATATAATTGACAATAAATTCCTTTTTAGTAATCCATAAGAAAAAGAAAATAAATTTAGCCTAATTTTAATGTGAACCTCTGGTCTTTAAATGATTAATTATTAATTTAATTGATAATTTAGAACTTTTTTATAGAGTATTAGAAAATATGTATGTTTTTTCCGAGTGTCTGTTTTGAAATACCTCAATATTCTTAGATGATGTTCTACGATAGCAGCCAGTTTTTGTTCTACTTTATGATTTTCCTCTGTTTGGTTTTCAATTAATTCATGTAGCCACGCATATAGCACGTTTAACTGACCACAAGCATGTATCGCGAAGGCAGCAGCCAGACAGCAACCACCGGCAGTACAGAAACTTAGTATTAATATTATCACGTTTTGTAGAACTATCGCAATTTCATTTAGAGGAGTAAATCTCGTATCGATGATTTTGCTGTAAATCGGACACGTCGTCGCATGCGTTGTAAAAGTCTCGTTGCCGATGATGATAGTAGTAGTTCTCATCGATTGCCCTAAGCCGAATAATAGGGAACTGCCCTGCATCATTATTCCACAGATTATAGTAACGAAACGGCCAAACTTGGCATGTTGCAGCATCACTTCACGTTCGCCGACGCTTTGCATAAGATTCCAGTCTGTCTCCATATGTCGTATTAATTTGTGAATATCATCGCTGCGCTTTAACAATACCCAGTAATGCATCGAGCTAATAAATCTGTTGACCAATGGTGTTATGATACTCAGTTTTTGTTGAATATTCTCTGCTTCAAGTAACGCATACAAGATACATGGTATCGTTGTGACTATTAGTATGCTTGAACAAATGAAAATTTGCAGTAATATCATGATTTTGCACCCTAGACTCGGTGCATTTATTTGTGGCCACGCACCGATTGGTTTGAGAAACCATCGATTAAATTGTAAACAGTAATCGATATGTTTTTCCGGTGTTTCTCTTTCTGGCGCATGTTTTGAATTTGACATGGTCACTGCACGAGAGCTCACAATATACTGCCACGGATAGACAATTCATTGTACTGTAATATAAAGAAGCGCCTGCGCCAATCTTCCGAAGAGTTTGGTTATCGGTCTGACATTAAAAAGGGTTTTCACATGGACTGATATTTTCTTCGAAACGTGTATCGCGTAACCAATGAGCACATTCAATTCCGTATAACGTAAAATGCGGATTGTTTCTGATTGGTTACTCGTTACACAAAAAAAAATGTCAGTTCATGTACAAAGCTCTGAAAGGGGCATATATTTAATCGATATATTTGCTCGTTGAGAGTTTCTGTTGCTTGAAGTCTGAGTGAATATTGCGTGTCATGAACGGAAAGATTCGTGAAAGTGCTTCAACATAACAGATTTTTTTATTCGAAAATATATTGTATTTTAATCACGTTGTTTTTGCATCTTAATTAAGTGAGAATATATGTGAATAGAGTTTTATTATTTATAAGTGTTGATAAAAGTTACATGTCATGAAATATAGAAAATGTTATAAATGGATATATGGAAATCAGAAAAATATATTGTTTAAAATTTGAACAATAAATAAATAATTAATAAATTAATATGTTATCATAATGTTACAGTGGCATTGTGTGCCATTGTAACATTACAATTAATTTATTTGTTTTTAAAGTATATATTAAATTTAAGTGTGTGTGTGTGTGTGTGTGTGTGTGTGTGTGTGCATGTACAGCTACGGATCTTTTGGATAAATACTAAGCGACAATTTTAATTGCATCTAAACCATAATTAGCACTTGTATGGTTGATACGTATGATTATATGTACGGTTGTAAAGTTCTACGTAGTAGAAGTTGTATGTAGAAAAACTCCGAATTTTTATTCATCAGTATATTGTGCAAGTTTGACTTATTACAGATTCTGTATTTGAAACAAGAGATTTTGCCATAAATAGAGGTTTAGAATAAAACTTTTGTGCATCAATTTTTTTTACATTTTTTTGTAAGCTCTTATTTATGATTTTTTTATATAACTCGAAAAATTCTTATTAAAATTTTTTTTGTTTACAGATTTGGATTCTATATAGTTCATTTGATTAAAAAAAAATAATTAAAATCGTGTAACCGAATTGTAATTGAAATTTGCGGAAGAAGCGAAAAGACTGATTTAGAATACTCAAATATAGAAATTAAAAATACTTTTAATTTTAATTTTTTAATTTTAATTTTGTAATATTAAAATTATTTTTCTTGTACAAAAATATAAGTGTGGATTGTTATCTACTGTGGATGTTATGATAAAAAAAATATTATACTGTACTTCGTTAGTAATATACTTATTATTATTCATGATTTTGAGCATATTAAATGTCATAATATCGAATTAAACTCAAATTCAATAAGCAAGATTTTACTCATAATGCTTTATGTATTAATTTTTTTACTACATTTCCATTCTTTTCTTGTGGCAATATACTCACAACTGCCCAATATACAAAAACTGCATGAATTTTTAGTATGTTATTCTCTAGACAAAAATAAGTGTATTGTGCCTGTACGCACTTTTAGGGGGTGAAACACCTCTTAGAAAAAAATTGATTTTTCTCTTTCGAAGCGAATATCGTCGGAACTGTAAGAAATAGAAAAAAATTTGTAGAATGAAAAACTCATTAACTACTAAAAACTCATTAAAATCGGAGGAGGACAATTGGGTCCCTTTCCTTATCAGTAATTATATAACAAAAAGAATCAGTGTATCCGATTCCAAACTGTACATGACATATTTAATTAATCCAATCGCTTGCTGCCACACAAGCACCGTCCTTGTCTTTGTTATTCATGCAATAAAAAGAAAAATAGGACGATGATTCGTATCGATTTGTGTCACCAAATAGAAAGCATCCATTATTAGCCTTTTTTCAGTGTGACCACTTTATGAAAGCACGCAGTGTGCTCTCACGAATGGCTATATTGTGCCAGAATTGAATGTGGAATAGAGCTTGAAAAAAATGTTTGATTAATAGCTTGCTATTACAACTGCTTTGAAAGGGTTACATGTTTAATCAATAATTGTTTGTCGTGAATTTACGTTATGGAAAGAAAATGTTGCGAGTCACAAAGAGTATAAATTCACTATAATTACTAGATATGTTCTTTTTTATTCGATTATATGCTGTTATACTTTTCATATTACAAAAAATATATAATTTCAATAAAAATGAAAATTAATACTTTTAAATATTGAAATTATAATAATAAGCATGAAAAAAATAAATAAAAATTATATATATTTGTCACGACAATATTTTACATAATCGTCCATTTTATTTATGAAATCTTACATTCAAGATATGTTAATTTATGCTATAAAATATATATTTTACATATTTTTTAACCACGTAGCTATTGGAATAAAATTTAAATATATCATGGAAGACTTAATTATTTGAAAAAACGTTGTTTCTATACAATGTAAATACAAAAATTAAAAATTTTTAATACACACGCATATAATTAATGTATGGATGTTTTAAACATAACACATAATTCAATTCAGTCCAATTCTTATAAGAAGATTATAATTCAAAATTAATAAAGTATAAAGAAATATAATTTACTATTAATTATTTAACTAACAAAGTAAAGGAAAGGTATATCTTACTATCCTAGATCTTATACTTACATCATGAAAAAGTTCCGATATACACTTGTTAGGATTCTAAACGCAAAGAAACTTTAAACTTTATTTATCGTCATATTGTAGAAGTTTAGTACTACAGATGTAAGAACTTCAAACAGAATGATTTAGAAATATGGTAGAAATATTAATTTTTAAACATCAAAATTGTAAAATATTATATAATATATAATATCATACGTGTATGACACTTTTGACATAATCATTGATCTCATTTATTAACTTGTTTTTGTTGAGTGCGTAGATGTCCTATAAAATATATCGAATATATCTTTTTCGAGTTTTTCTATGTTTTACATATAATTACATAATTGCGTGTGTAATTGTACATATGTGATATTATTATGTTTCCCCCTCAGACTTGTATATACATGAATAACATGAATATTTTGTTTTAACAATATATCATAAGAAAATATAAGCCCAAAATTAAAATTTTAAAGAATTATGCTTACTCACGGGAAGCAAAATGATAAACAATTTTTGAAAATCTCGATATATTAATATCTTTAAGGTCAATGATTTCTAATTTCAGTGCAAAAAAAGGGTTAAATAATATTTTCAGGATATGCTAATACTTCCTATATAAAATACATAATTGTATATTTTTTAATTTATATTTCATATAACCACTTTTACATAGTCATTGTTCGCAAAAAATTGCAATATGCGACCGATGTTTTAATTACCTGAAACAACAACATACTTGTTTTTGTAGAAAGCGAAAATGATATATATCACATTCCATAAGTTACAAATTTAGATTATATAAATTTATTAAAATTTGATGTCTTAAATTATACGAATATAAGATTTTATGTTTTTATTTTGAATGTTATTTATGAATGTTATTTATGAATATTTTTAAATGCAATTCTTATAAGATGATCACCATTTGAAATTAAAAAAATACAAGGAAGATGCAATTTACTAATTTTTTATTATTTATAATGAAACGAAGGAATGGAATATCTACATTACTTACATCACCAAAAGTAGCGATGGATAAATGGAATAATTTTCCCGCTGTGATTTTAACTACGTTATTCGATCGGGCAATAATCAGAATAAGACCACGTGCAGTTGTGTGGTGTAGATTATACCAATCAGTCATATATGCCATTTCTCCGACAAGTTTGCACTAATTTAACATAAAATTTTGTATGAGTAATAATTTGATAATTTAAAATCTGGAGACACGGTAGTGTCTCGGCGCTAAGCATTGGCATGAAACACTGCCTTTATGTTAATATAATGAAGAAAAATATAAATTTATTAAAAACGAGGCAATTTCGTTTTAAATATTATAATACAATAAAAATTTCTTCATTAATATGTAGCGTTACATTTTATTCTTTTCGTAAAATATTGACATTAAAAAAGTATTAAAACGTGATTTGTTTTCAAAAATAATAATAAATTTTCAAGGGGCTTTTAGGAATTAGCGCGGGAAGAAGTGCACACAGATTAATAATTTTAATATTTTAATGAAGATGTAGATTTATATACACTTATGGTGACTTTTTTGTTTCAGTAGATAGATTTAATTCTCGTATTACCTGTTCTGTGATAATTCCTCCGATGTAACAGAATATAAAAATATTGAAACTCGTTGATAAATATGGAAAAAGATAAGATGTTAGTTTTGTCGTATCAAGTGTTTCCCAACTCTACGCAGAAGAAAATTTGTACTAAATTTAACGTATTTTAGATACCCAATGATTCACTCAAATTTTTATGTAAATATAACATGTATTATATGAGAAAGTAATATTACGTAAAAAATGAAGACAAAAAACATTTTGATACAATTTTAAAACAAATTTTGAAGATATATTTAATGAATAATATTAATATTCATAATATGTTGCATTAATGCGTAAATTTTATTTATTTATCTTAGAATTTACGTTTTCTATATGTTCCTATGTTTATATTATATGTTCATATTCATTTCACCTTTTCTTTGTGAATTCTTTAATATTAATAATTGTTAAATGTCAATTTAACACAAAATGTTCAAACAACATAATGCATTTTACGTTAAAATAACACATGAGTATGTGTTATTGTGTATGTAAAAAATCCAACACAATATCTTGTCCACGATCGATTTTAATACGAATACAAAATGTTTTTTTACAATGTAAAATTTAAAATATAAGCTTTATTATATAATTTATCGTTTTTAATACACATTTTGTAATAGTAACGATGTTTGACTTTTCATAAATAAGTAACATTTATTTGTGTGAAATAAAATTTGCATTTTCTCACGTCTATAGCGTACCATAGCAACATAATATCCAAGCATGCACATTAATGTTGTGCATCCCGTTAATTCAGCAAAAGCTGGTTTATGCATAATACTTTCCAGTTGTGATATAAAACTGAAACGTATAAATGTGTATAACAGTTTTTTTATATATATTATTAAGTTACATACATTAAACTGATTAAACATATCTTTTCATGTATATAATTGACAATATAAATTCCTTTTTAGTAATTCATAAGAAAAAGAAAATTAATTTATCCTAATTTTAATGTATACCTCTGGTCTTTAAATGATTAATTATTAATTTAATTGATAATTTAGAACTTTTTTATAGAGTATTAGAAAATATGTATGTTTTTTTCCGGATATCTATTTTGAAATACCTCAATATTCTTAGGTGATGTTCTACGATAGCAGCCAGTCTTTGTTCAGCTTTATCATTTTTCTTCGTTCGATTTTCAACTAATTCATGTAGCCACAGGTACAGCACCTTTAACTGACCACAAGCATGTATCGCGAAGACAGCAGCCAGACTGCAAGCTCCGACAGCACAAGTACTTATTACTAATATTACCAGCTGTTGCAAAACTACCACGATTTCATTTAAAGGAGTAAATCTCGTATCGATGATTTTGCTGTAAATCGGACACGTCATCGGATGCGTTGTAAAAGTCTCGTTGCCGATAGTGATAGTAACAGTTTTTATCGATTGCCCTAAGCCGTACAATAGGCAACCGCCCTGCATCATTATCCCACAGATTACAGTAACGAAACGACCAAACTTCGCATGTTGCATCATCACTTCATGTTCTTCGATCTTTTGCACGAGACTCCAGTCTTTCTCCATATGTTGTATTAATTTGTGTATGTCATTGCTACGATTCAGCAACACCCAGTAATGTATCGTGCTCATAAATCTGTTGATGAATGGTCCTAAGGTACTCAGTTTTTTCTTGATATTGTCTGCTTCAAATAACACATACAAGATACACGGTATCGTTGGGACTGCTATTATGCTTGAACATATGAAAATTTGCAGTAATATCATGATTTTGTATCCTAGACTCGGTGCATTTATTTGTGGCCACGCACCAATTGATTTGAGAATCCATCGACTAAATTGTAAACTGTAATCGTTATATTTTTTCGATCTATTATCTTCTGATGCACGTTTCAAATTTGACATGATCACTGCACGAAAGCACATAGTGTACTGCCACGGATGGACAATTCATCATACTGCAATATAAAGAAGCGCTTGCGCCAATCTTCAGAAGAGTTTAATGATCGGTCTGACATTAAAAAGTGTTTTTATATGGATGTTTTCTTCCTAATACGTATTGCGTAACCAATGAGCACATTCAGTTCTGTATAATGGAAAACGTGGAACGTTTCTGATTGGTTACTCGATACGCTTAAAATATCAATCTATATACAAAGCATCTTTACTCTGAGAGGGGCGTATATTAAATCGATATTTTTGCTCGTTCAAAGTTTCTATCACGCGAAGTCTGAGTGAATGTCCCATGTCATGAACATGAAGGAAATGTTCATAGAAGTGCCATTGAAAGTGCTTCAATTTAAGTCTTTTTTGATTCGATAACATATTTTAATCCCGTTTTTTTTGCATAATTAAATTAGAATAAATTAATAGAGCTTTATTATTTATAACTGATGATAAAAGTTACAATATTATAAAGAATAGGAAATATTATAAATAAATTAAAAAATTATTGAATATGAAAATTAGGAAAATGTTTTGCTTAAAATTTTGAATAATTTTGTGTACAATAATTCTGTGCTATTTCACATTGCAATTATTAGGTGTTGGAATTAATTCGTAGCGTTTTTTAATGAAAGAATGTTATTTATTTCACATGAGCATTAAAAAATACATTAATGAAAGTACTTCCCATCACTTGTAAAACGCTACGAATTAATTCCAACACCTAATAATTTTATTTGTTAACTTTGGTACAAAGTATATATTAAATTTGAATGTAAATGTAATCGTAAAATGATTAATTTTATTAATCTTTAACAACTACAGGTCTTTTGACAAATTCTGAATGAATATTTTAATCACGTCTAAACCATGATTTGCACTGGTAGATACGATTATATGTACGGTTGTAAAGTTCTAAATTGTACGTAGAAAAAGTTCAAACTTTTATTCATCTGTATGTTGTGGAAATTTGATATTACAGACGTTTTTGAAACAAAAAAGATTTTGTTGTAAATATACGAGATTTATAATAAAATTTGCTTACCAATATTTTTCGCATTTTTCTATAAGCTCTTGTTTAAAATTATTGACATAATTTGAAAAATTCTTATTAAATTTTTTTTTTTTTTACATCTTTGAATTTTATATAGTGCATTTGATTAAAGAGAAATAATTAAAATCGTAACTGAAGCAGAAATAAGCTGATTTAGTATCCATATATAGAAATTAAAAACTTTTATTTTTAATTTTAATTTTAATTCTAATATTAAAATATAATATTAGGTGTTGGAATTAATTCGTAGCGTTTTACAAGTGATGGGAAGTACTTTCATTAATGTATTTTTTAATGCTCATGTGAAATAAATAACATTCTTTCATTAAAAACGCTACGAATTAATTCCAACACCTAATATTAAAATTATTTTTTTACAATAATATAACTATGTTATCTCCTATGTATGTAACTCCCTATTTTTCATTGCATATTTTTGTAGCACATCTCAAGAGCTTTCCAAAACACTATAATAAAATAATTTTTCATGAAGTACTTTCGAATTATAAGGCTTGAAAGTTACAGTACCGCTAGCATTACGCAAGATGTCTGATCGACGGCTAAAATTTCTTGAATGTCATTCAGGATCATGTCTTGAATAACGTTTGTTAAGATCAAGGTCAATGATGATAGTTTCTCTTATTTTCATTTTTGCACTGAAAATTCATTTTTATGTAAATGAAAAACAATCTCCAGTGAGCTTTATCTTAACAAATGTTATCCAAGACATGATCTTAACCGACATTCAAAAGATTTTAGGTCGGACATCTTACGTAATGCTAATGCCGGCGATACTGTAACTTTCAAGTTTTGTCTGAAACGTTTTTTTCTAAAATGCTCTGTTTCCGAGATAAAAGGTGTGTACGGGTGATCTAAGCCTGTATATAAAGAAAAAGAATTATTGTATCCGATTCCAAATTGCACTTGGCATATTTAACTAATCGCTTGCTATCACACAAGCATTGTCCTGTCTTTGTTACTTATGCAATAAAATGAAAAATGGGACGATGTTGTGTCGATTTATCAATCTTTTTTCAGTATGACCACTTCATGAAGTATGCAATGCATTGTCACGAATGGGTACCAGAGTTCATTGTACCAGAGTTGAATATGAAGAGCCTGAGCAAACCTTCGAAAACATTGGATGAATAACGTGATATTACAACTGCTTTGAAAGGGTTACATATCCAATCAATAATTGTTCGCCGCGAATTTATATACTAATTATGCAAAGAAAATGTTGTGTGTCACGAGAAGAATAAATTCACTGTAATTACTAGATATGTTTTTTTTATTCGATATGCATGCTTCTCATTTTAAAACTGATAAATATAAAATTTCGCTGAAAGTAAAAATAAATACTTTTCAGTACATACATATAAAAATTATAATAACATATACAGAAAGAAAAATTATAGAAAATTATATGATACATTTGAAAATAATTTGATAACTGACAGATTTTACATGAACATTGATTTTATTTACTAAATCTTATTTTCAAGATATAATTATGTATTCTACAAAATATATATATTATGCATTTCTTTACATTTCACTAACATGTTTTACATAGTCATTGTTCGCAAGAAATTTAAATATACCATAGAAGTTTTAATTACCTGAAACAGACATGCTTGTTTCTACACAATACAAAGCAGTATATATCATTCTACAAGATACATTAAAATTTTAAATTATGCATGCTCGTATAATCAAATGGACATAATCATAATTGATAATTTAATTCAGCAATTCCATTTCTTTTAAGGTGATTATATTTCATAATTAATTAAAAAATATGGAAAATTAGTTTACTATTTAATGAAATAACGGAAAGATATATTTGTATAACTTACATTACCAAAAGTTGTGATAGATAAATGGAATAATTTTCCTGCTGTAAACTTAATTATATCATTCGATCGGGCAATAATCAGAATGAGATCGCGTGCAGTTTTGTGATGTAGATTGTACCAGTCAGTCATATATGTCATTTCCCCGACCAGTTTACACTAATAAATTGACACAAAAGTAAAATTTTTTATGAAAGAATTTAATAATTGGATTAATAAAAGGTTAAAAATAATTCAGCTTCGTTGAAAGTTAGGTAATTACAATTTAGCATTACTCTTTCTAAAAATATTGACTGCGTTGAGCAGACAAAGCTGCGCAGTGATTCTTTATTATAATACGCGCACGTTTCCATTAATATACCTATTGAAAAATTAAAAGTAGGAACCAATGGCCGCGTCTATTTTGCAGTTTTTTTTCTCTGCATTCTGATTGGATTATAGTTTCAAATCTAGAGAAATCGGTCTCTCTCAACGAAGAAAATTTATAACACAATTGCAATTAAACTATTATGTATAAACATGGTCAATAATTATTTAAAAAATGTCAAAATCAGATGTATCCAGTATGTATAATTTTTAACGATAGATTATCGTTTCGTTGCATAAATAATATGGTACAAAAAATTATACAACAACATAACGATACCGAACTGTTGTTAAAAGCTTCTTTCATCAATTTCTGGTTAAATTAATAGACGATCAATTCCTAAAAGCACTAGCAGCAATAAACTGTGTTTTATTCTCACAATAGCCATTAATCAATGATTAATTCAATCATCATGATGGTTATTGTGAGAATAAAACACAGTTCATTTTAGAAGAGAAAGAAAAAGGAGGCATTCTGATGCATTAAATTGCTGCTAGCGCTTCTAGGAATTGATTGTCTATTAATTTAATCAGAAGTTGATGAAAGAGGCCTTTAACAACAGTTCGGTATCCGTTAATTGAAATTGGTGAAAGAGATTCTAAGACTTATTGATTTCAGTATGTTTTAATTCTTAACCTGCTCTGTGATAATTTCTCCGATGTAGCAAAATATAAAGATATTGAAACACAACGATAAATACAATACGCCGTAAGATGTTATTTTCATTGCATCGAACGTTTCCCAAGCCTAAAAATTAAAACATAAGCTTATTTTTTATCTTATAATGATTTTCTGTATATATTTTATAATAAAGTAACAATGTTTTTGCTTTTCATAAGTAAATGACAGTAGGTATACTAGACAGTAGGTAGGCCTAAGTTTTTCATTTTTATGGTCGCTAGCCTACCATAATAATGTAATATCCAATTAAGCACAATGATATCGTGCATCCCACTAATTCCACAAGAGCGACTTTATGCATAATATTTTCCAGTTGTGATATAAAACTGAAACGTGTAACTGTACATAAATGATACAGTAAAATTTTGTAAATAAGTAGGGTGCGAATGTTCAGGCACGGGATGCTCGGAGAACCGCTGCGTGCAAGTGAGTCGGATGCTCACTGAAATGAAATAGCAACATTTCTCGTGGTTACTCAAAGCCTGCCGACTGTACTCGATTTATCTAAATATATTTATCTCGGTTGACATGTGGCCTACTCAATAGGTGCTTTCCAATTGCTTAACATATTTTAACACAAACGTACACAGAAATACACAAAGTGTAGCATTGTGCACGATTCATTTGGAACAGAATATGTACGCTTGAGATATACGTAACCTGTAGACTTTCAGCGTCGGCAATGAATTTTGGAACACAGCCTGTAAAGGCAGTAATCTGCCAATAATTTCGATTTATACAAATATTATTTATATTTATTACTTTGCTCTTGTCGATTCACAGAATAAATTATTAAATGTAATTATTTTACAAGTAAGTAGAATAACGCTTACAATAAAGTCGATCCGGCTTTGTAAAAATATCAAAAATATTTTTAACAATTTCATTAATTGAGGTCAATTTTTCCTCAAGATTTCGTACATTTTGAGGAAAAGAGTTCTCACGCGATCTCGAATCAATACTAAAAAATACAGAAAAAATCTCTGCACTCTATTTCTTTTATAGGCCGTGTGCCAAACGAGATAGATATATTCGGATAGATCGTGTACAATCGGCGAGCTTTGATTCTCCTCGAGAAATTTTGCTATCTCATTTCAACGAGCATCCGAAGCGGTTCTTCGCACGCGCCCCAGGATCGCGCCTGAACTTCCGTACCCTATATTATAAATAAGTTATTGTAAAGGTGGAATCTCACGATATTTGATTTCTTGCATGCAGCGCTTAATATATGAACGATTCTAGCATACATCAGAGCAGGCATGACTGCATGCATACTTATCATTAAAAAAATTGATCATTGTGTGATTCCATCTTTATATTATATTTATATTTCTCATATAACTGACAATATAACTGACAATAAATTCTCTTTTAATAGTAAAACATAAGAAAAAAAAATTTATTTATTCTAATTTTAACGTAAATATCTATCTTTTAAATGATTAATTATTAATTTAAATAGTAATTTAGAAATTTTATAGAATATTAAAGGATGTGTATTGTTTTTAATGAGTGTCCGCTTGTGAAATACCTCAATATTCTTAGATGACGTTCTACAACAGCAGCCAGGTTTCTTTCAGCTTTATCATTTTCTTTTGTACTGTTCTTAATTAATTCATGCAACCAGGCGTATAACACGTTTAACTGACCACAAGCATGTATCGCGAAGACAGCAGCCAAACTGCAACCACCGGCATTACAGAAACTTATTACTAATAGTACCAAGTTTTGGAAAACTAACGCGATTTCATTCACAGGAGTAAATCTCACGTCGATGAATTTGTTGTAAATTGGACACGTCATCAGATGTGTTGTAAAAGTCTCGTTGCCGATGATAATAGTTGCAGTTTTTATCGATTGCCCTAAGCCGTACAATAGGCAACCGCTTTGCATCATTATCCCGCAGATTATAGTAATGAAACGGCCGAATTTGGCATGCTGCAGCATCACTTCTCGTTCATCGATCCTTTGCATAAGATTCCAGTCTGTCTCCATATGTCGTATTAATTTTTGAATGTCATCACTACGCTTGAGCAACACCCAGTAATGTGTCGAGCTCACAAATCTGTTGATCAGTGGCCCCACGGCACTCAATTTTTGCTTGATATTTTGTGCCTCAAATAATGCATACAATAAACACGGTATCGTTGTGACTGCTATTATGCTTGAACAAATGAAAATTTGTAGTAATATCATGATTTTGCATAATGAACTCGATACATTTATTTGTGGCCACGCACCGATTGGCTTCAGAAGCCATCGATTAAATTGTAAATTGTAATCGGTATGTTTTTTTAGTTTGTCACTTTTTAGTGCACATTTGAAATTTGACATGATCGCTGCACGAAAGCACACAATGTACTGTCATGGATGAACAACTCATCGTACCGGAGTATGAAGAAGCGCCTGCGTCAATCTTCGGAAGAGTTTGGTGATCGATCTTTGGTGACCTAACATTATAAAGGGCTTTCACGCTTGGATTAATATTTCTTTCACAATTGCCGCGTAACCAATAAGAACATTCAGTTTTGTGTAATAGTAAACGCAAAACATCTCTGATTGGTTAAGCGATATACATTACACAGACAATATGAATCCATATAGAAGCACCCTCGCTCTGAGACGGGCACAAGTTCAATCGATATATTTGCTCGTTGAGAGTACGGTAAAAGAAACCATAGTTGAGACTTTCTATTATCCAAAATCTGAGTGAATATGGCGTGTCATGAACATTGTGAGGAAAGATTCGTGTAAGTGACATTGAAAGTGCTTCAACTTTAAGTGCTTGAACTTTTATGATATTTTTTAAACTATAACGTTTTTTGCATATTGATTAACAGAATAAATAAGTTTTATTATTTTTTAAATAGTGATGAAGATTACAATATTATGAGATATAGAAAATGTTATAAATATATATATGGGAATCAGAAAAATATATTGCTTAAATTTTTAAAATAATTTGATGACTAATTACTCTGGGCAGTCTAATATTATAAGTTTGTTTATCAATTTTTTGGCGTGTATATATATATATAGATGTATGTATGTACACACACACTCACGCACACACGCACGCACGCACAATGTGTGTATATATATATATATATTAAGTTAATGTGAATGCAAAATGTTAACATTATTATCCTCTCTGACTACGGATCTTTTAGACCAGAGACGTGATTAAAATTTTAATCACGTCTGAACACGATGGCATTTATATATAGTCATACTTACGATTCATGTGTACGGCTATAGAGTCCTAAATTGTATGTAGAAAAGTTTCAAACTCTTGTTCATCTATATTATGGAGATTCGATGTTACGGATTTTGTACTTCAAACAGGACGCTTTGCTGTAAAAATACGAGTTTTAGAATAAAACTTCTCTGCACACATTTTTTTTTGCACACATTTTTCTGTAAAGCTCTTGCTTACAAAAACTTTTTGACTTAACTTTTCAAATTTTACCACTACGTTTCTGTTCTATGCTTAGATAAGAATACTCTGAGTTGTAATAATATAAGAAAAACATTTAACATATCCGATTGCAAATTGCAATCGTCATGTTTATTTAATTCAACGCTTCCTGTCATACATTAGGTGCTTTCCATTCAGTAACACAAGCGACACACTAGTGTTCGACAACAGTGTAGTGTATTATTATAAGACCACTAGTTGACACAATCGTTGTTTTATTTTTTTTTGTATTCCATGAGTAATAAAGACAGAACGGTATCGATTTGTCATGAAATGAAAAACACCCACTACCAGCATATGTTTAATATGATTACTTTATGAAAGCACGCAATGCGCTGTCACGAATGAGTGGTTCATTGTACTAGAGTTGAATTTGAAGTAGGGTGAATAACGTGATTTTACAACTGCTTCGGAAGGGTAGCACGTTCAGTCAATAATTATTTGTCGCGAATTTGTAGTACTATTCTTAGAAAGAATGTCGCGTGTCAAGTGGAGAATAAATTCATAGAAATGAATGCGCTTTCTAGGAATCTATCTATTATATGTTGTTTTTTATTCGATAGTATGCAATCATACTGCTTCTCTTACTGTTAAAAAGGGTAAACATAAAATTTCAATAAAAATGAAAATTAGTACTTTTCAACATAGAAATTACAATAACAATAATTAAAATTACAATTTATAAAATTATAAAATGTTATATCTATATATATTTGAAAATAATTTAATGACTGACAATCTCAAATTTTATATAATCTTTGATTTTATTTACTAAAACTTATTTTCAAGATGTATTTATTTATTCTACAAAATATATATTATGCATATTTCTTAACGTATGTTTCACTAATCATTTTACGTAGTCATTGTTCGCAAGAAATTTAAATATACCACAGAAGTTTTAATTACCTGAAACAACATGTTTGTTTTTACACAATGCAAAACAATATACCATTCTATAAAATAAATTAAAATTTTAAATTTTAAATCATATATACTCATATAATTATTAAATGTATGAACATAATGATAATTTAATTCAATAGTCCAATTTTTATAAGATGATCATAATTCGCAATTAATAAAATATATAGAAAATTAATTCATTCTTTAACGAAACAAAGGAAAGATATTTTGCATTACTTACATTACCAAATGTTGCGATAGACAAACGGAATAATTTTCCTGCTGTGATCTTAATTACGTCATTTGATCGAGCGATAATCAGAATAAGACTACGTGCAGTTTTATGATGTAGATTATACCAGTCAGTCATATATACCATTTCTCCGACAAGTCTGCACTAACAAATTGACATAAGAGTTATATTTTCTATGAAAAGTACTCGACAGTCAAATTAATAAGATAAAAATAATAATTCAGTTTTGTTGAAAGTTAGGTAATTATATTTTAAAATTTTTTCTATTAATATAAGAGTATTATATTCCATTTTCTTCTAAAAATATTAGCAGGCATATTTAGTAAGCGCTTAATGATTATTTATTATAACATGCTTTTTTATTATAATACATTTATAATTCTAATTTCATAGATTTATTGAAAAACTAGAGACAAAAACCAATGGCCACGTTCATTTATGTTGCAGTTTTCTCTGCAATGCGCACAGGATTTTTTTAGATCTAGAGAAAAATAATTTCATATCTCAACGAAAAAAACTTTTAATACTTGCAAATGAAATATTGTGTATTGAACGCGGTCATTGACTGAATTATCAAAATCATATTCAGTATCTCGATTTTATAAGTTTTAATGACAGATTTGTATCATTATGTTAAAGATACACAGATATTGTAATAACAGTGATAATGTATATCGATACTGAACTGTCATTAAGAGTCACAAAATTGAAGTACTGGTTTCAATATCTTTTAATTCTTAACCTGTTCTGTGATAATTTCTCCGATGTAGCAGAATATAAATATATTGAAACCCATCGATAAATATACAATAAGGGAAGATGTTACTTTTGCTGTATCAAGTGTTTCCCAAGCCTACGCAGTTGGAAAATTTGTATTAAATTTACAACGTATTTTAAGTGCCGAACGATCCATTCAAATTTGTTGTGCTAATGTAACACAAGTTATAAAGTAATGCAATTATTATATAAAAAGTTCACAATAAAAATACTTTAATACAATGTAAAGTCAAATTGCGAAGGTATATTTCTTGAATGATACTAACATTTATAATATGTTAAATTAATACGTATTTAATTCATTTATTTTAAAATTTACATTTTTAAAAATTCGTTTTTTTATTATACATTAACCTATTCATGAATCTTGTTTCTTTAATATTAATAATTGTTGTATCCACCAATTTAATACGAAATATTCAAATAATATAATAATATTATGTTAAATTAATATATGAGTATGTTAAAATTTGCAATATCTTGTCAACAACCGATTTTTTAACACAAATCCTAAATGTTTTTTATTACGTAAAATTAAAAATTAGATGAGCTTGTCTTTATTGTATAAATTAATGTTTTTAATACATATTTTGTAGTAGAATTGCGATATTTTTTTCTTGTGAATAAATATTTTAATGTGTCTAATAAGACTTTCTTACGTTTCTAACGTACCATAATAGTATAATATCCAAGTAAGGACATGATTACCGTACACCCCGTTAATTCCACAAGAGCGGCTTTATGCATAATGCTTTCCACTTGTGATATAAAACTGAAACATATAAATGTATATAACGCAGTAAAATTTCTTTATAGTCATCGGTTCATTGAACTTATACTCTTCATGACCACAATTCATTACCTTCTTAATCCACAAGAATTGCAAAAAATTTATCTTAATTTTAACGTAAATATCTATTTTTTAATTGTTGATTATTAATTTATTTACTAATAAACAATGTTTGACTTTGCATTGAGGATTTATCGCAGTACAGTCGAATCCGTCGAGAACGTTAGACGCTTTTCGCTGCTTTTTATTTTATTTTATACATTGGACGTTACGCTTATAACGTGATATTAATTTTTTCATCGTTTTTGACATTGAAATTTGACAATTTTTTTTTTTATAATATTAACATGGTTTTTCTCAATTATCGGACTATGAGGTGAGTTTTTACTCATTAGAGAAACGTATATGCTTGTGCTAAATAAAAAAAATTGTAAGTTTGATAATTTATAACGTTTCTATATTTCTTTATGTTCTCTTTAGAACAACGAGAAATTTTCGCAATCGGTCAACCAATCACTTGACGAGCAATTTTTCGTTTTTCTCTGTTTTAATTCTCATCTAATTATGCAACGAAACAGTCGCTTTCTTAATTTTTGAATAATGTATTATACTGTGCCAGAAAATAAAAATTTTTTGTACATTTGAAGAGAGCCTAAATATAAGGTCGAAACATGTATGTAATTATATTCTAGTGTTTCAACTTTTGTAACTCTCTATAGTTTGATTTATTATTTCTATCTTTAATTATACTTATGTTAAACGAATAATGGAGTTTTATTAAGTTTTTTTTACTCTTATTAGCCTTTTATATCTCATTGTTGGATTTTTTTAAACTAAGAATCCTATTACTTCAAGTTTTTTATTATTATTAATTTGAATAGTAATTTAAAAGTTTTTTATAGAGCACTATAGATTTGTACTTTTTTTTTACCGAGTGCCTGTTTGTAAAATACCTTAATATTCTTAGATGATGTTTTACGATAGCAGCCAGTTTTTGTTCAGCTTTATCACTTTCCTTCGCATTATTTTCAACTAATTCATGTAGCCACGCGTATA